CAGAAACCTTCACAGATTTTAATGGAAGGCTACTTTTTAGTATCTCTCCTTAGAAATGACGTTCACTAGAAATTAATGAACTCAGTGTTTTCCTTCACTGGAAAAAAATCTGTTCCAAATTCACTCAGGAGCCACATGCTGCTGTAGGTTTCATCACTTAAAAATACTTAAAAGCAACACAGAGACCATTCTCTCTGTATTCCTAAATTTATATGCCATATGTGGTCAAAAAGATGAAGCATTTTTGATCAAGCAAGGAAGAAAAACAAATCAGCAGATAATCTTTGAAACATCAGCTCTTTTTAAACCTCTGTGAGAAGCCAGTCAGAACTACATACCAGCAAAATATCCTTCTGGGGGGCAACAATGGATATATTAAGCTCCTTCCCTGTTCTGTGGAACAAAGCAACACAAGTTGTGATAAATGTTTTTACTATCCTGTCTAGAAACTGGTAGTAAGTAACTACACTTCTAACAGCTAAGATACATCTAAACATTCACAAAGTACATAAGTGAAGTGAGCTTTAGTAAATATTGATAGTTGTGTGACTGGACTGCTGAAGGGACATCAGTTATAAACATATATATGTCTATAGCTCCAAATCAGAACAAAGTAGATTTCAGAATAGGCCCCAGCTTGATTCTTAATTTGACAGACGTTTAATTGCTTCCATTAAAATTGTACTGTTCGTACTTGACTGCAATTCTCAGACCATCCTAAAACTGCATCACCACAGCAGAGGATCATCCTCCCGCGCTTAGCTAAGAACTCCTCGGTGTAATTAAAGTGAAACAACCAGCATTTCCTCGCCTCCTCCAGATCCGTGAAACACGAGAGCCCTTCTGGGCTCAGCACTCCAGGCTGTAGTTACTTTTCTTAACCATCTTACTGCTGTAAGGAAAAAAAGCGGATGCAGTTCTGGCAAAAAGTAAAAAGACATTTCGTTATTCCTATCAATTCTGCCAAGATGAGCGCAGGAGCCGCATGCCGCCGATAGGCGCTATCAGGGCTGATACGGCCGCAGCGCTGCCCGAACAAAACCCCCATCAGGGCGGAACTCCGCGCGACGCTACAGAGTAAAATGCAGAGGCCGGAACTCGCTTCGCTGCCCCCCAACAGCGGGTGAGGCAGCGCGCAGCGGCCGCCCCGTCCGCAGGGGAACGCGCCGGGACGGAAGGGGAGCGGGGGGCACGTAACGCTGCCAACCACAGCCAGGCGGGGCGCAAACGCCGAGGTTCCTCAGGGCTGGAGAAGGAGGGAAAGCGAGAGGGCAGCTGGGAAGCAGCGCCGCGCCACCCCTCCGGCGAGCGGCAGAGACCCGCAGTGCGCGGGGGGGGGTGTGGGACTCGTCCGCTACCAGACGGCGGCGCGGGCCCGGGCGCCCCCTCCCCCCGTCCCTTCCCGCCCCGCCCCAGCACTCACGTTCTCTGCGCAGCGGCGGCCCCGATCCCGGCGCCGCACCACGTGACGCGGTCTCCAGTCCGCCTATTCGAGTCCCGCCCGCCGCGCTCCCCTCAGCCGCGCATGCTCAAGAGTGGCTCCGCCCCGCGGCGGGAAAGAGCGGCCGTGCTCTGCGAGTTGCGGTTAACGGAGAGCCGGAGAGGTCTGTAATGAGTCGTGTAAGTCGAACAGTTCAACTCCTCCATCTTTTTATTCAGGCGCTAGAGATTCTGAGAAGAACACGGCGGTTGAAGCGGTGCGCCGTGCGAGTCGCTGCGTTAAGCGTCGTTCCCAGCTCTGCTGCGGGCGCCGGGCCGCCGGCTGTGCTGCTCAGCGGGAACGCGCCAAGCGAAACGGACACCGTGAAGGAGGTTGTCACAACGGCTGGCGAGCTGGTGGCGCGAGTAGGAGAAGCGAATCATACACAGACCGTAGCCAAAGCTACTTGCCAACGGCCCTGCTTTGCTGTCAGTTCTGCGGCACTTCGGTTTCGTAGAACATCTTGGCAATTCACACGAGTATGTCATAGTATTTATGTGAAAGTTGTAATCTGCCCTTCCAAAAACAGCGCACAGCTCAGCAGACTGGCAGGCATGAGAGGGGCTGAATTCCTAGAAACAGGGTGGGGATGGAGTTAAAGGAGCAGGCTGTGCCAAAACAAGCAACTGCAGCATTCTGCTCTCTTCCAAGAGTGAGCAGAAGCCAAAAGAGGAAGGCACGTCCAGTGTGCTGCCATCCACACACCTTATGCTAAGCTCTTCAGTTTTGGCACATTGAGATCTGTCACCTCAATTAACGCTAATCGTCATAATTCATAGAAATCACAGAATATGGGAGTCAGAACGATAGATTTTCTAACATACACCAGGTTTTCTATAATTGGCACCATTTTCTGTAATAGCCTACTCTAGTTTCATGCAGCTGTAACTCCAGTCTGTAGTTCTTAACCATGCAGTATTTACTGCCCGACTGTAGGCTCAGATCTTATTACTGGATGCATGAGACTTGAGGTCATAGCTGGACCTGGAAGCCCTGCATTCTTAACATCCTGTGTTAACCTGTTCAATCGTATGTTTTCTATCTTAGGTTCTTTATAAAGCCCGAATAATAGGAGGCACAGGAACAATTTTGTAGGCTAAGTGAACGATGCATTCAGGTGCTGCGATTCATGGGCCATGTGTGTGTGTTCTTGTGCTTGACAGCTGAGTGCAGGATTTGATACTGCATTAAGCTTTTTTTTTCCTCTCCACATTTTCAAAAAATTTGCTAAAAAAGCCCACATGAAATATTACTTTTTATGACATAAATGGCTGTACACATACATATATATGTATACTTAAGAAATAAAAGCCCTGCTTCTCTCTTTCTCTGATCTCATGCTATTTACCTCATGGATTTCTTCCACCTTTTTATCTGAAAGTTCATTTTTCTTATTAAAAAATAGAAAATACTGTTTTACGCTCCACAACTTTTGTATGGTCAGTTTTAAAACATGGTGACATTGATTTAGCCATGCTCATAGATTTCCTGTAAGTGAGATCACCCAGTTGTTTTAAGATGCCCTGAAAGACGTTTTTGAGTAAGAGGAGCAATTTAGGTGCCAGCTCTTCCGCCTAGCTAAAAAGTACAACACGTGCAACAATTTCACTGTCTATTTAAGCAGCTATTAACAGTATAAGTTCTGTTTCCTATATACGCCTGAGCTGATTAAGAAGTTAATTCAGTACTTAGAAAGAAAACGAAAAATAAAAACAGCATTTTCATGTCCCATGATGCATTCAGTTAAGGCTGCTTATGCCTTGCTGCTAGCTATATAATCCATGTAAATATTTATATTACACCTATTATCACTGTAAACATACAGCTTAGTCATATGTTGACCAATAATAAAAAAGTGACATTGAAATCTCTCTTGCTTAACAGCACAAGGTTTAAACAGGTTTTGGAGGCAGTAAACCAGGCCTCATTTTTCTGAGATTCATGCAGAGGCTTTTCACCATGAAATAACTGGGAAGGAACAGCTTGCTATGGAATGCATAAATATTGATTAAATCCATATCTGATTTTTTTTTTTTTTTTTTTTTTAAATGCTGGAAATTTGATAGCATAATTGAAACACCGTTGATGTTAATTATGAGGAAGCTAGGCCAGACTAGCTCAGAAATGTTAGAAGAATGCGTAAGAGTAGTTACAAGAAAAGAGTTATGGCTTTCCTGGACAGTCAGTATGTAGCAGCATTGTAGAATTAGACAGGTCAGTACTATAGAAAAGGCACGATAACAGAAGGTGCTATAAAGGAAGGAAAGAAGATTGCTCACCCATATCTAGGTTTGCAAGGGAAAGCTCCACCAAGGACAGATTTCCAGAAAGATTCCTCCCTAGGGGCAGTCAGCCCTTAAATGAGGTCTAAGAGAGGTGCAGCCAGGCTCCACCCCTTCTGGTCACACAGCTGAACTGCCTTCACCTGTGCTCCATGGGCTGACTGGGTGCTCTGCCCAGGTGCTCAATCAGTGGTGTGACTCAATAGTTACCATATGCATATTTACAAACAGAAGGAGAAATAGTAATCCAAAGTTTGATACGTGAGGATATGATGCATCTGTCTGAAAACTAATATAACATCAATGATTTCAGGATTGATTTAAATACAAAATTAGTTTGTATACAGCTGTTTTACCTCTGCTACCATTCTAATTCTGAAAATAACATAATGCTTTGGAAATTGTGGAAGCAAGCCATTCAAAAAGATAGATATGGAAATACATGATAAAACATTTTTTGTATGAATTTGGGGCTTAATTTCTTTGAGTCTTTGATGTGAAATTAACTTTGTATTTGTTGCACAGCCCTTAGCTGGTCATGTACTTTATCCAAGTTCAGTTGTCACCATCACTAACAGAACCTTCATAATAAGGCTGTAGATTCTTTGCTTCCAGCTTGTAGCGTTAAAATGAATCATCCTGCAGGTTCTTGTTCATGTATTTTTCCAGGAGGAAAAGAAGAAATATCCGTTGAAAAGTAAAGTAGTCTATTAGTCTGAACATGGGCTGGAAAAAATGGAGTAACATCAAAAACGTTTCATAATGCTTACAGCCAAAGGGGCTTTTGATCATCTAGTCACCTCCTGTTTAACCTGATAGTTCTGTGCTGCACGGAGGAACCAGTTACACCAAAGCATTTTCATTCTCAAAGTCCTAACTTGTTGTATGTCACCTATGGAGAATGCAATAAACCAAAAGACAATACTAAGGAAATAAACGTGTAAAATATGCCGGGAGGACAGTACCAGATGCTCTCTCTACTCAATTAAAGAGCCTTTTAAAAAAAGGTATCAAAATCCAAGAGAATATAACTCAAGGTCACTGGTGAAAACAAACTGTAACAGTAAGATAGAAAACTGCTATCCCTTAAAACTGATTTAAAAACATGCAATGAGTGTTCAGTAACTGTTGAGTCATGGCCTAAACCACTGATTGAGCACTTGGGGAAAGGACTCAGACAACCCTGGGAGCACAGGTGAAGGCAGTTCAGCTGTGTGACCAGAAGGGGTGGAGCCTGGCTGCACCTTTCTTAGACCTCATTTAAGGGCTGACTGCCCCTGGTGAAGGGTCTCTTTTTGGAGGTCTCTTCTGGTGAGGTTTTCCTTTGCAAATAGAGAATCTTCTGAGATGGGTAAGCAATCTTCTTCCTTTCCTTCTTAGTATCTGTCTGTTGTGCTACTTCTTCTGATGTCTTACCTTTGTTGTAATACCTTTCTCTTTGTATTGGCTGCCCACTTGCTGCAAATGGACAAGCAGACACTTCTTTTTGTTTTGCTTGACCAGGGGAATCTTAATAATCATTAGCAAAGTAATCATTAACAAAGCAGCCTGAGCATTGTTGACTGTAATAATACTATATGCAGAAAGTATTCTATTGAGTAGTTCTTTTTGCAGGTGCAACGTAACTTACATCTCATTGCTCATAGGTGCTATAATTGCAAAATGAAGTTATGTTCTGCTTCTGGTAGAGAGTCTTTATTAATACTGTAGCTGTAAGAATTTGTGATTTTTTTTCTTATTTCTGTAAAGTATTCAAGTACTGTAGGGCTTTTTTTCTTTTTTTCAGAAAATATGGGTTCTGATCCTTTTTTATTTCTTATGAATTTTTTAACAGCTTTGTTGCAAGGCTGTATCAGTAATCTGGTGATGTTCTTGTGTGTTCTCCTGGCCTGTGTAAGGACTGTGTAAGGACAACTGGAGCAGTGTTTCTGCAGGGCAAGGGAACATCATTTTTCAGTACTCTCAAGTTCCTGGCTCTGAAAGTTGAGCTAATCTGGAAGCAATACTGAAGGGCTTCATCTGGCACTCCCTGTAAAAAAGGATTTGTCTAAGATAGTGAAGGAATTTCTCCAGAAGTTACAATAAGCCTCTTTTTAGAAGTATTTTCCTGTTCTGTGTTCTCATGGATATAGGTGGAGAACTTGTGTTTTTTGTGCTTTATGTCTTTGAACTAATGTCACTTCTACAGCATGTACACTCACCATACCAATCCACATCGTGTGCCCCCTGCAGAGAGGTTCAGGAAGCATTGGGAAGAAGAGCTGCTGCCTTTTGGTCTCCGAAAGGTGACCTGAAGTTTTATCTTGTGACTCAGTCTGTCTTATTTCTGAGTTTTGTATAGTGAAAAAAAATCCTGTATTTCCCTTGGAAGCTTTGAATTCATTGAGCATTATATTCACAATTGAATTGGGAATTGCTTGTTTGCTTTTAACTTTCTAGAATTGTCTTTAAGTCATGGGGAGTGCACCCATAAGCCTCAATTGCCCTTACCAGCCCCACCTGGGTCCCCACACCCACTGCCCAGGATCCCCATTTAAGATCAGTCCCAGACAGTTCCTTTTCCTTTAGTTCAGTTTTTAAAGCACTCAGCAGGAACTATAAAGCTGCAGTACAAAGGAGAAAGGTATTTGAAATGAAGATCAAATGGGTTTTATGGCCCATTTAAGTCTTTTTAATATAGGCAATATTGTAAGGATTATAATCAAATACTATAAAACTATTGAATATTGCCAAACCAGAGAGTTGCATTGTTCCTGTAGGTTGTAGCTATCAGATTGCAGTTAAGAGAATTTTCAGCCATGCCTGGCAAAAAAGAATTTTCTGGCAAATGTAATATATTTTATCTGACCAGCTGGAAGATAAGTAAAAGAACCTTCCGGCACAGGAGGCCTTCAACTCTAAAACAGAAACAGCAGACTTCAAAGTTAAATATAAATTGAGGGATGTTTTTCTTGATTAACTTTAGAGCATCCTGGAAGTTGTGCCCAGCAGCAGAGTGGCAGTACCCTTCCTTATCGGTGTGCATAGGAAATAGGTGTTGTTTGAAGCTAACCTAAATACAAACAAGTTTCACCTCCTTTCTGTCATACTGCTGTTGTAGCCATCATGTTCTAAGTACAGAGACAGAAGTGTGTAGTGCTGCTTGTTGGCAGACCCAGCAAATACAGGTAGAAGTTTTCTACACCTAGAGCAGCAGTAGGAGCTACTTCAGTGTTGTACCTGTGCCTGCCTGTCATGGTGTGCAGTGAGGCTGAGAAATGGTCTGCTGTGATGCAGTCACTGTCCAAGCAGCCTCAATGCTCAGGCTGCTGTCCTCTGTAGCTTACTTTCTGCTTTATTAGAAGTTATTGCCTGTCACCTGCTGATGTTTCTAGTCTTTAAACACAATCACAAGGCTTGTGGCCTGGCTGGAGCTGTCTTCAGGGGCTGGAGGTGGCAGAGCTCACATCATCCTGCTTAGAGCAGGCAACGCAGCCCAGAGCTGTGTTATTTACCTGTTCCACAGACAATCCTGAAAGCAGGAAAAGGCCATCTCTGAAACAAAGCAGAGGCTGCAGTGGAGAGCATGTCATTGGTATGGAATGGGCTCCAGCAAGGGAGTACAGGTAGTGCTTGGCCTTCTGTGTGGGTGCTGATGTGAACTTGTTCAGGTTTCTGGGGATCTTCCTGCTTTCTAGGTAAAGGGCAGGTTTTTCAGGTGTTCCAGGGAGACAAACCCTCCTACTTCCTGGAGACTCTAAGGGTTTTCTTGGTGATTTCCCCTGGGAACCTCTTTCTCTCCTACCAAAATACATGTGGACATTTGCAGCTTTTTATTTCAGCAGTTGTGTAATATGTATTTTTCTGCTAGTTGTCACATTTACTTTGGTTCTCCATTGCTTTTTAATTTTTGTTTCTGTTCAGTGAACTTGAGAAAAATATTTTTAATTATTTGTTTTCTTTACTAGCTCTCAATCTATAAAATAATGGTCTCTGGCAGTGTTTGGCATTGTGAAGTACCAAGATCAGTTGTGATGAGGTGACTCAGCATTATTCTGCACAGCTGCTTGTGAATATTTCAGCCAGGCCTCTGCTTGATTAATGAGCACTGGCTTCTTCTTGAGATAATTCTTGCTGGAGTTTGCCCAAGGGCTACAGAGTGGGCACTCGAGGGAATTTAGTGGAAGGAATCTGTATTTGAAATGACTTCTTTTAGATCTGTTTACTTAATGATTGCTTGCTTGAAGGTGATGCCCATAATAAGGGGGAAAAGTCAGTCAAAAGTGTGTTTAAAAAAAAAAAAGGTACTTTTGTTAGAATTTTTCACTGTTCATGTGTTAAAGACAGTCCTCTCTGCAGGGAGATTCTTGGCAGATCCTCTTACCTGGGCTGTGTCCCTGAAGTAGGTTGGAGCACAAAGGATGTCAGTTTGCATGCACATGGTACCTTCCAGTGGAGGCACTTCTGATGCTGGGAGCTTGGCAGCAAGTGTTATTCCCCTTCCTGCTCCTGTCAGCATTGCTCTCCTCAGAGATGGCTGATGTACCCATGTTTATATCAGTCATCAGCCATATAGGAACATGGATTTAATTTCATTTTCTGAAGACATGAATGTGTGGCAATTCTACCTACATATTAGCCTCTCACGTTAATTTTTGTATCGATGAACCCATTTGAGTTGCGTCTGCCAGAACTGTGCATTGCTTATGGGCACAACAATGGCTCCCTGCAGCTACCTGTGGCTCCCGCATGTAGTGGTTATGATTGATACCCACTGCATCAGCAGCTTTGTGAGTAAGGACACAGCTTGACAGGCCTGTGCCAGGTAGCTGGTCAGGAAGATTTTAGGGAGACTTGAGACCGTTAAGTTGGAAATAGGAAGCAGGGAGGGAGAGGAGTAGCCAAGTGGTGTTGAGAATGTGCTGGTGGAGCAAGTGTTCTGGTTTAAACTGGATATTTAGAATAGGAAATTGGGGTAAATCTGTCTGCTACTCATAACTTCTGCTATTTTATAAGAAGTTGAACATGTGTTCTTATGCAGTGTTAAGTTGGGGGAAGTGAAATAGTGGGGAAAAAAAAAAGAAAACTTTCCATGTACATAATCTATGCTGTACTTGAGTGTATCTATTGGTGTGTGAAAGAAAAGTTTCTCTGAAGTAATCATAACTTCAGAATATATGAAAAAGTACACTGAAATGAAGAAAGTACCAGAAGACAAAACACAATGTCTGTTTTTAGAGTATCTGTCAATCTGTAGCCATAGTAAACAGGTAATCAGAACCTTCTTAATTTGTGCAAGTTGCTGCATTTAAGGGCTGAATTAACTAAAGCATATCCCTATGAAATAACCTTCATTACACAAATCAGTTTGCTGATGGATTACTGAATTTGCAGCCAAAATAGTACCCCACAATGGGTGTGAAGTTTCCTGATCATCTAATAAATTGATAACTTTGAAGCCTAGTTGTGACAATTTAAATGTCATCACTATTAAACAAGTTGCCAAAATGCAAACAACTATCCTAAGTCATTAAAATGTAATTATAAAGGACAGCTGGGTCTGCTATCAATCTGGGCTGTTGGGACTCGTAATGGGGAAAAAATATGAAAGTTCCACACAAAGCGAAATGAGACTGCTGTATGTGCCAGTGAGAACCTGCATGGGAAGCAAATGCAACGTACTTTGTGCAGACAGTTGCTGGTGCTATTAGAAGGCTTACAGATATGGACATTATGGATATGGATGTAGGAGAGAATGGCTGCATGACATCCAGCAAATGTCTGTACCTTCTCTATGCCTTATATGGAAAGTCCTTTTGCTTTGGGTAGTTTTTTCTAATGAGATGGATAGACTGGATAGCAAATGTAATCTAGCAGAAGTGACTATGAAGGACTACGTTCTCTCTTTTGTAGAGAGCCAGCACAGGTGTTAAGCCCTGTTTTGAGAACCAGGTGGGCTTTAAATTATAGTATGTGTATTGTGGTTGAAAAATATTAATAGAGAGAAAAAGAACTATCAGGCTTTGCAGGACTGTACTAGGTCTGTTTGACAGCTGCTTTTCTTTTTAACAGACAGAAAAAAAGGAAATAAAAATGAGCAAGAATTGTTTGGAGGAATAAGTGAAGATGAAAGATGACTGCACAGAAAATAAGCCCTGAGAGTCAAGCTGTAGCATCATGGGTTTCCCTGGGAGGAGAGGGTGCTGGGGCAGGGACCTGGGCACCCTGGGGACTGTAAGGTGCTCAGCCTGAAGAACTGGGAAGCCCCACTTTCCCCTACTGGCTGCAGCTGGGCCAGCACTCAGATGCATGCCCTTTTCTGCCTCAGCTGTTTTTCATTATTTGTTGTTGGAGATTACTCCCCTTCACCTGCTGGGTGCACAACTATGATGAAGATGATCAGTAATTTCACCTGCATGTGCCAGTAGTGTTCATAAAACAATTGTACAGAACTAGAAGGTCTGAGCCTTCCTCCAGTGAGGTGTGGAAATAATGTCTTCCTTAGTGGGCCTAATTGAAACTGGAAAAGCAGTTATGAATGGCCTCCAAACAAAACCTCCAGATTCCAAGATGTAAAGCCTCACTGAAATGCCTGTCATGCAAACAGCAACTTCAGTCCCTGCTTAAGACTTGCAGCTCCTGCTGTAGATGTTAAGCTCTAAATTCATACAAGTTTCAGCTGCTTCCCAATAGGCTTTGTCTGTTATAGAGTGATGTGGTATCTAGTTGTTTGTAGATTATGATATGTACACTGTAAGTGGAGGTAGAATTGTTATACTGCTTCATTGAACTAGGAACATCAAATGAGTTCACAGTCTCTTGGTACTGTTTATACATTTTATGGGGCTGCCAGCTTCCATAACTAAGCCCTGTTTTCCCTGTTTGTGCAGGAAAGGTAGGAGTTGATAACTGGTAATCTAAAAGAAACACTTCATTTTGTGTATCTTAATGCATAAGATACTTTTTGAGGCTTTTGTGAACTGAAATATAGACAAACTGCCTATCTATGAATGTCAGTATATTACTTGAATATTTTTTTCTGTAAATCAGCCTATAGTGTATTGTTCACATGAAATAACAGTTGAGTATTCTGTAGTCTATTCCATGGTGTATTCTAACTGGTCAGTATTCCTGAAATACACAGGTATCAAATTCTCCATGCATCTTTTTCTACTATGGAGTAAATCCTAGTGATCCCTTCCTTTGTGTTTTTGGAAATGATACAGTGTGGTATATGAGAGTAATTACCCACCTCTTACTTTTCTGAATTGTAACTTTTTTGTTTGTTTTTGAGGAGAATCAGTTGGTATGGAGCTTAGAGAACCTTTTAAGATTAGGAACGGTTTCTAATGAACAGATTTTCTGATGCAAATGGAAAGCCAAGTTGAGAGGTTTTTTTTCCTTTTATATGCAGGCAGCTGTAGGTCACAACAGACTTGGTTTGTTTTTGGGCTGTCCTATTCAAGGGCATGAAGCTTCAGCCTATCAACAAAAAAAATGAGATGCTAACCTGCCAAATATAGGGAAATGAATAAATGGAAGAACAATAAAAGTCAGTAAAGGAGGAAATCTCATGCAGTGTGAATGATTTCCTACATAGCGTAAGCAAAATTTTCTGCTGTTTGTTTCACACTGCTACGCTAAGGAAGAATGAATTTTAGTCCCCAGTGCTGTTATGAAAAGCATGCAAATTCTACAGATCACACTGGCTAATGGATAGATTGGTTATTTTGAAAAAGAAGTAAGCTTTCCTGTGATTTCCATCCAAGTCCTCCCTATGTGAGATGAGAACTCACTGCTGTTTTAGGAAATTGCTAGTTTTCTGTGAACACTGAGAAGGTCTTGAAATTAACTTAGTAAAGGTGAGGCTATGTGATGCTTCTTGCTGCATTGTGAGAATCAGCAGAATGACATTGTAAAATATCCATAGTGATAGTCAAAGTCTGCAGGGAGTAAGGTCAAAGAAAGGTCAGCAGCTGACATCAAATCAGAAGCCAGGTGTGCTGACCCTTAATCATAGGCTTTGTGGACTGCAATTCAGCATAACATTATTGAATTCACCTTTAGATTAAGCTGGCCTGCTCTGACATACACAAACCCATATGCAAGTTAATGGCTGTGGCATCCACTTAATTATGCAAGCTTTGATAACAGATCAGTGAGGTGACCTCTGCAACCACTATTTTCAAGGTCCTTAACTATTTGCATTTTCAACAAACAACGTGGCATTCCCTATTTAGGTCACGTTAGACCATTAGTTCTGTGTATACAAATTACAACCTGGGAATAGTAATCTGCACAGAAGATTTTTTTGTGATTACATTAGAGTTGTTGAAATCAGCCCTTGCATGCTGAAAGTCAACTGTTCAGGTACTGATAGCAGATCTTTGGCTTTGAAGGAAATGCTCTTAAAGACAGTCCCTAATAGTCAGTGAACTATAATTAAGCACATATGCAAACCCTAGCTTCCTTGTTGCTTGTATGGTTCTGCAGTCTTTGATCATGAGATTGCTCTGTAGAGGTTATTTGCCTTAATGTTGACATGGAAGAGGGTTCACATGGTATGAATGAAATTTCTTCTAGTTTAACAAACATTTTTGGATTATTGTAAACTTAATGACATATTGATGTGGTGTTATCTTTATTCCATGGATGTGCTTTCCACTTGCTCACTTATGCAGTGCTTACTCAACAAACTGTGTGGTAATCAGTAGTATTAAGGTCACCAGCAACAGAGCTGCCTGTTACACTATGCACTAAAGGCACTTAGTGAATACTGCACCAATACAAAATCAAACTTTTTGCTGATTCCACTGAAATTACTCCCCTTCAATACAGCTACAGAATGGGATTCAGCCAGAGGCTGGTCAGGAGTCCTATGCCCTCTGCAGTATTTACTGTATGTAGCTTGTCTTGGTACTCAATAAGAAAAATGTGCTAAAGGGTTGGCATATTTCTGAGATTGTAAAACGTGCTCTCTTCTCAGTGAGGTTACTTCAGTGGGAATTGTGTATTGCTAAGTGAAAGACCTTGACAGTGTCCGTAAGGACCTGGAAATCTGCATGAAATGTCATAGACAAAGCACAGTGCCCCAGGACTCAGTGCTCTGTTCTCTCCCCAAGACAAGGTGGTTTGGGTGGATGGGCTGTATCTTTGGGCCAATGCTTTTGTATGTCTGATTATTTTTTTTTAGGGTATTTTCCATGTTCATCAACTCCTAGTTTACTCTCTTGCATTCTGTTCTTCTAAATAACTTGCTGTGGGAAGTACATGTGAAGTCTTGGCTGTATAAAGCTGCTTCCATAGAGTCAACTGTAGTCCTCCACTACTCTTCTAGAGAAATGTGCTTCTAACAGAGAACTTCACAAGGCTTAAGGCTTCAGTCTTTGTTTTTCATGTATGCATATTGTCTTTCGGATGCCTGATGTGCATTAGAGCTATGAATGAAGTGCAGGACTCCCAAAGTGTGCAGCAGACATCCCTGCTGTTTGCTGTGTTGTTGGCACGAGTTGTGTTGTGTAATCTCCAATAGGCTGGCAGAATTAGACATTACAATCCAGTTCATCAGCTGCACCCATCAGAGAGTCTGTCTATAGAGCAAATTCTGAACTGCTGATACCAGTAGCAGTCACCAGGTTTGGCTGGAAGAAAGCATGATTAATATCTTGTATTTTTAGAGGTCTCAGTAAGGTAGTGCAAATAATTCCTACCAAAGCCAGTCTGTGGCTGATCGGTGAAGCTGTGTTTTGCTGTAGCACATATACACAGGAACCTGGTGCCCAGAAGGCTAAAAGCTGTTTAGCAAGTTGGACCTATGTTTTTACACCAAGTTTTCTGTAGCACTGAAGTAACAAAAGAAATGGGATCTACAGTAGCTTAATTAAAGTCAAAAGACACTTGAAGTTAGTTAAGTATGAAATTGTTTCATAATGAGAATGAATTCCTTTGGGATATTAATTTTTTTAATTTTTCCACCAAATGGGCGGGTTTGGACTGGAGGTTATGAACAAAAGCTGGATGCTTCTGCTGGAATTCTATGTATAGGAATAATTACTGAAGGCAACATTTTAACTTATCTTTTAGTTCCAGACTTGACAACCATTTGAGATGATTAGGGTGAAACAGACCTCTCAATTAACTTTTTTTCAGGTTGTTCTGCAGACTCAAGAAGACATTATTTATACTCTGCTCATGTATTTCAGTAGATCTTTGTCACTGTGTGGCCAGAAACATCTGTTTGAAACAACAGAAGCTGAGATTGAATTGATTCTATCCTATAGAATAGTGATTAATGGCAACAAACTCTATGGCTATAGAATTGTGCAATAACTGGAGCCTTGCTGATAGCATGGATAAATTGAGGGTTTCATTGTATTGAGATGTCAGTCTCAAATCTGTACTCGCTGCTAAATAATTCTTAAAGGATTAAAAAGCCCAAGAGGTATCCTGTCCTTGTGTAAATTCCCAATTCCTTTGCTATCTCCTGGGTGCTATTTTTAGAAGTGGTGGAATAAAGAGACAAATCAGCCAGGCAACTGTATTCACTCATAGTCTAATCCTGTGAAAGAGGGAACAAGCAAGGCAGCTGCGTACATCAGAAAATCCTTAGTAGCATGTTCTGGTCTTTATTTTGGGTAAAAATATTCAAACTGGAAAATTGTGATCCTTAAAGACTTCAGTATGAGAAAGCAGGAAAAGGACCGACACACGGAGAAGGGGCTGCAGGCAGCCTCTATGAATGCTGTCAGTAACTACCAGGAAATGACAGGGTGCAAAAGGTACTGAATTAAGTCAAATATTTTACTTCGTGCTATTTGCACTAGCTTTGTGTGTATAAGAGAAGGCATTATATACAGAAGTTAGGTGAAAAGCTAGAGGAATACAAATGCTGCAAAATTATAGGGATACTGGGTGAGAAAATAAGTAAAACTGCTCTACAGATACCTTGAGGTAAGGGGCCTCCAATAGAGCAGTAAAGGTAAAATTCCTGCAGGGTGTGATCTCGGGTCTGTCTTCTGCAACTCAATCCTTGTTTTAGAGCTTTGCCTCTGGCTTTCTTCTGATACAAGATGCAAAGTCAAGAGTGTGTTCATGGTGCTCCAGTGTATCTCCTCATAGTGCTGTAGTCTCACCAAGGGAAGGCCTGGAAATCAGTCAAATGCAGGCAACCTATTTAATGGGTCCCCAGCTGTTTCCATAATTGGCTTGGTTTCCCAGATTTCACAGTTGTGTTCTGCTGGTACCTTTAGTCTGTCCAGCTCCATCAATGGCAGAGTTTTGTGGCCTACCTACACCCAGAGACAAAGAATGCAAGAACTGCCTACTTTGAGACCCTCCTCTCCTTAGCTGGTCGCGTGTCTTGGGTGACAACCAGTGGCTTGCTGTCTTTTCTGTGTGAATGCAAACATGTAAATCTGATTAAAGAAACTTTGAGAAGAGGGTGCTGTGAGATTGGTTATGTTTGGATGGTATGGAAAGGCATTATGAACTCTGTCTGCTGGCCATTAACAATTTTCAGTAGTGCTCTGTAGGGGGAAAAAAAATCTAGTGCATGTGATAGCATAATAGGAGGGGAGGATGTATTTATGTAAATGAACTCAAACATTCCCAAGAATTAATAAATTAAGTGGTTGGAAAAGCTAGCAGAGGATAATAGGCATGGAGACCTTCTGCTTGTCAGCAGAGATGGTTAATTGGTTGGACTTACTGTAGCACTGTGCATGCCTAAGAGAAGCAAAATCCTTTTGAGTGTTAGAAAATCACCTAATAGCAATAACTGCAGAGCAATATGTTGTACTCATGTATTTGTTATATGTATTAAATGCTGTTATTAATACTTGTGTGTGGGGCTTTGTGAATGCATAGTGAAATAAATTACAAAAGTCCAGTTTACTCAGTAGTGTTTTTCAGGCCCTCTGTAACAAAAAAAAAAAGTATCAGAATTCAACCTGAATTTCTTAGAAGATCTGTATTTTGGTTTCCAAATAAAAAAAAAATAGGGCTTGCTAGCTCACTTAATAGATTTAAATTTCTAGGGGTAATTAGAGGAAGAGATGGAAATCCTGCTCTGTATTTATAAGCTATGTCAAGCTGAATACAGTATTAAGGCAACAAATAGCTTTCTCTAATTTAGTTAAATGCACAGAGGAGACCAGTA